TTTTTTTTTTCTCTTCAGAACGTGAAGTCAATAAAAATGTCAGCGCTATGAACTATTATGCACATATAATTATGATACGACAAAATCAGGAAAATCATATTTTGAAATGTCGGAGACTCTTTCATCAATATGTATGACATGTATGCAAAGGTGGAAACAGAGCGTTTGAAATTTATTCGATTCAGTCAACGGAAGTAGCGATCAGAAGAGTATATACATCTCCGCGATGCAATCAATAATGATGGAAATGTTGACAATGTTGAACAAGTTGTTATTTTACCAGCAAGTTACACAGGCAGTCCAAGGCACATGCATGAATATGCGCAAGATGCCGTTTGCTATGTTCGTTTGTATGGTCGACCAGATTTGTTTATTACATTTACAGTGGGGAGCATTAGTGAGTACATAGATGATATTTTTGTACTTAATAATGCATAACAAGAGTAAAAATAAAGATAACAACAACAATTTTGTTTTTATTTGTTTGGTGCTTAGTAGACCCCAATTTTATTTATATTACAACAACAGAAAATATCAAAGTTTAATAACAAATTAATAAAAACCAAAACAATCTGCATGTACTCAATTTTTCACCCGTTATCATTTCAGCAATGCATTAAATATTTACCGTTTTTTTCCAAATRGAGTGTTTAATGTATAGTAAATTCTAATGTTTTGCATATTGTGGACGTATTTTGACATAACTAAAGAATAAATAATAAATAAATTTTACAAAATAATTTAAATAAATAAAATATAAAAACAATGAAAAAAATATCGCGTGAAGTTGAGGACAAAATTGTTTCGATGACTGAAAGTGGATCTTCTTCTCGGCAAATTGCTATGGATTTGAAAATATGCCAGTCGGTAGTGATAAGAGCCCAGAAAAGGCGAAATTGTCAATCAAATGTGAAGGTCAAAGGGCGTTAAAGGCTTTTGACAGATGCGGACGCACGCCTAATGATGCCACGAATGAAAAAAGACAAGTGTTTGACACCAGGAAATGCAGCCTTGGAAATAGGTAAATCAGTCAGTCGATGGACTGCAAGAAGATCCCTCCACAAAATTTGGTATATCTCGGCGGTTAAAAAACAAACACCTGCTCCATCTGCCAAAAATGTTAAGGCGCGACTAAAGTTTGCAAAGGAATCATGTGAATTGGACTGAAAACGACTGRAAACGTGTTATTTGGTCAGACGAATCAAAATTCAACCGGTTCCAGTCTGATGGTACGCAATATTGCTGGCGTCGCCCCAATGAAACAATCAAAAGACATCACGTGAAAGAGACTATGAAACATGGTGAAGGTAACATCATGGTGTGGGGTTACTTCACGTGGTGCGCTGTTGGACCGCTCCAGAAAGTTGATGAAATTGTGAGGAAAGAGGATTATTTGAACCTCTTGCATAACCATCTTCCCGATTTTGTTGACAGGAGCGCTTATCCTGAAGAAGAGGTCATATTTCAACAAG